GATGTCGTCTAACTGAATTGAGTCATGAGAGGCCAGTTGTAAAACCTCGGTTCCAACTGATTCTCACACTGACTTCGGCCTCCACATATACTGCTCTCCCACCACCGCCATGTTACTCTCTCTCTCCCAAACGAACACAAAGTTTGGATTTTCTCTGAAATCTGTTAACCGGCATGTCACCCCAATTGATACATTTGTTCCCTGCCAGATTTCTCACATGCAGATGTCCCCAAATCTTAAATAAATCTTAATTGTCCAGGCATAAAATACAAGAGTATGGTGTCTCATTGATTTTCCTCCTTGAATTGTCATCCTTAGCGGTCAGGTGTTCCGTCGTTCTCTGCAGAGAGCAGACCGTGGCAGGCGATTTCAGGATTTCCCCCTCTATTCCCTCAACATCCCTATTCGAATATAGGAAGATGGTTTCTTATGGCAAGCACCGAGAGCTCCCACCTGAGGAGCAAGCTCTGGGCAGGCCTGGATTCGGGAGGTACCATCTCTAGGAGTGGCACTCAATCAATGGACAGGAGTTGGTGGTCAATGCTCTCACTTCTTTCCTTCTGAGCGGGGACAAGTTGTACCAGTCTCCAGAATTCCTCAGTCGGATTGAAACGCAAATGCCTACAGTAGTAGTCTGCCCATCAAATCATTCTATATTGTGGATTAAGAATCCCGGTGCAGCTCTGTAAAGCTGCAATCTAGACGTTAGCTGGCACTGGCATCTCATCTAATGTCTTGACTGGGGAAGAATCCACTTTCAAGTTCACTGAACGTCGTTTTTGACAGGATTCAATTCCTTGAGGGCCTCTGAAGTTGAGAGCCTCAGTTTCTTGCTGGGTGTTGAATGAAGTCTGTGTTCACTGTGCCCGGTGCTTTGCCACATAGGTCTCTCCCACACAGCCACTTAATTCATCGAAGTCAGTGAGAAAGAGAAAGTAGGTTAGCAAAATGGAAGTCACAATCTTTTGTAACTTAATCACTCGATGTTGCCATACGCTGTTTAGAAGCAAGTTACTCACGGGGCGGGTGGCGGGGGGAAATTATATGAGACCATGAACACCAAAAGGTAGAAATCATTGGGCTATTGTACAGGCTGCCTACCACAACTCTTACATAATATTGAAAGTTTAAAACACATAATATAAATAGTAAGACTCTATTTATATAAAATTCAAAAACATATAAAACTAAACTACATTGCTTAGGATGTATACCTAGGTGGTAAAGCTATAATGAAAATCAATGAAAGGATTATTTAGAATCAGGATAGTGATTATCTGTGGGGTGGAAGGAGGAAGAGGTGGCTAATTTGCCTGAAGTTCAAGTCTTTTAGTTAAATTACACTACTGTCTATGAGCTCCTTTGATACTACTCTTCCACACTGTGTGTGTGTGTGTGTGTGTGTGTGTGTGTGTTCAGGGTCTTCCCAGTAAACTGTAAATTCCCCAGGAGGAGACTGTAAATCACATTTAACTCCAATGACTGGCAACTTGTGTCTCTCACATTATCCCATCAACAAGGCAGGAATGTGAGTGATATAGGCACATCTTAAACGTCTGACTGAACGGAATAAAACAGTCAGTCTCTAAGTGTGGTCCTTGGACCGTCAGCATCAATATCATCTGGATACTTGTAAGAAAAGCAGAACTTCAAGGTCCACCCTGCAATTAGAAGCTCTGCGGCTAGGCCTCACTATTTTTTACATTTTTTAAATTTAAATTTAAATTTTTTTAACATTTGTTTATTTAAATTAGTTTCAAATATACATTGGTTAGACATCTATATAGTTCATAAAACAATCCCTCTAATTGCTCCCTCCCTCCCCTGGCCCTCCACCTAGCCAACATATTAATGCTAACTGCATTCCCTATGCCGTGCTCCCCAGCCCCGTGACCAACTGTCAACTACTAATTTGTACTTCTTTAACCCTTCACCCCATTCTCTGAGCCCCCCAAACCCTCTCCCCTCAGTTTGTCACCAACTTGTCCACTGTATTTGTGAGTCTGTTTTTGATTAATTTGTTCTTTTTTGTTCCTTAGATTCTGTATATAAGTGAAATCATATGACTTATTTCACTCAGCATAATAACCTCTGGGTCTATCCATGTCACTGCAAATGTAGGATTTCATTTTTTTTAATGGCTGAGTAATATTCCATTGTATATATGAACTACATTTCTTTATCCAATCGTCTGTTGATGGGCATTTAGGTTGCTTCCATATCTTGGCTATTGTGAATTGTGCTGCCATGAATATTGGGG